TAAACCAGCAAAGGACCAGCTTAAACCAGCAAAGGACCAGTTTAAACCAGCATCCCAGCATCAAAACATACCTAACCAGCATATGCTGTTTTTTCAACAGGGATGGCTGACTTTATGCTTAAGTGCATGCAAAGTTGTTTCTCTCTCTCGCTCTCTCTCTCTCTTCTTTTTAAATATTTAAGGAATAATTTACAATGGGCCATTGTTCAAGAAAATTCATGCAAATTCCAAGGTGATAATGCAGAGATAGAGGGAGAATTCCATGGATATTAAAAGTAATTTCTAAAGAAATCAAATGAATATCCCATTATTTGTCATCTGTTTGGTCAGCTTTTTCAATGTCTGTGTGTCTGAGTGAGTGAGTGAGTGACGTGACATGTGGCCAAGTATGGTGACCCATACTCGGAATTAGTGCTCTGCATTTACCCATCCAAAGTGCACACACACAGCAGTGAACACACACAAACCGTGAACACACACCCGGAGCTGCGGCGCCCGGGGGAGCAGTTGGGGGTTCGGTGCCTTGCTCATGGTATTGAAGGTGGGAGAGAGCGCTGTACATTCACTCCCCCCACCTACAATCCCTGCCGGTACAAGACTCGAACCCACAACCTTTGGGTTATGAGTCCGACTCTCTAACCATTAGGCCACGACTTCCCCATCTGTGTTATTATCCGTTTTTACTGTGGTATGACAGGACTGTAAGGATCTTTGAAATACCTGAAATAATTACTTTATGTACTTGCAGTTGCTGCAAGATAATACACTATAGGTGCTTTAAGCAATAAAGTACAAGAAGCCATGCTGTATTATGAAAGCAGTCAAAGTTACAGCAGCACAACAATGTTAAAAACAATGCATAACAATAACACATGAAAACACTTACATAAATGTCTATTGATCCATCTGTGGATACCACACTGTCTTGTGATCGAGAACTGATACAGCTGTAGCTGAAGCAGCCAACAAGTTCTCAACTGGGTTTCATTCAGGTGAACAAGGGGGCCAGGCCATTATTCGGTCACTTCGGAAGCATTTTCAGGCACGCCAGTGGAGCACATACATGAATAAAGTATCTTCCGGAAATTGGTAATAGTTTTGGGAGGTCATTTTCAGTCTGTCTGCAGCCCAAAAAGGTCCAACCAGCTCATCATTAATGATAGCAGCCCACAGCTTTACGACACACACACTGATGGGAACCGGTGCTCTGTGTCCATTATTGAGTCGAGCACAGGGCCCTGCCATCTGCTACAAGACTTCATCTGATCATACAACCTTTGAAAAATCAGCCTTCATGTATTTCTTGGCCCAATATTGATGATCCATCCTGTGATTCAGCTTTCCTTAGCAGATTCTTTGACCTCTTGTATCTGGAGGTAGGTTAAAGTTCTGGAAAATGGTGGCATTTCTTCTCAACATCTTTTTTGTGACCATGCTTACTATTATTGCCAAACTGCTTGATTGTCCAATGGTCATGCATTACTGCATTTTTCTGATAGACATTTCATAATTTTTTGGCTGGCCATTCAGTTAAATCTTTTTTTGTGTGGACATGTTCACCTGTAGTAGAAGTCTTCCTAATAATTATACACATATGAAAGTGTTAGCCAATTTAAATACACCTTCCCTCATTAACAATTACACATGCTTGTACTCCTGAAAATGATTATACGCAGTAATTATGAGGATTTATGTGGTTTGGAACATGAAACAAGCTTGTAAAAATATGATCAGAATATTCACTTGCCTAATAATTGTGCATGCAGTGTATATTTGTCATCTAAGGATATTGCAGTAGTATATTATTCTGAGTTCAGCCTTACTTTTCTCATTTAAAACCAGCAGAAACCAGTGCTTTTGAAATTCACTTTTCATTACATACAAATTTTTTTTAAAAAGTGATTTCCTCTGAAAGGCAAATTCCTAACCTAACTCAAAGGTCAAATTAATTCCATATACCAGTGTTTTTTTTTATTCAAATGTCAAATATGTAAAAACCACTGCGAACAGGTGATACTTAAAAAGAGCATATTTAATTTTTATAGATGACAAACATGCTGCACAAAGCTCGCTGTAAATAAAGAAAGCAGTTAACTTTTGAGGAAGCTATGAATGACAGAAGAGCACATACATTGACAAAGGCTCAGAAGTGGTTACATCTACAGATTAAAGTCAAAGCTTATGACAGATTCACAATTCCTGGTTTTATTCAGTGCAGCAGTTCTGAGTCACATTATGGCTCTTGCTTACAAAGGCAGACACCAGAAAAATCTAGGCTGAGGCATTTTTCGGTCAATAATGATCACATTCTTGAATCAACACTCACAGTCACAGATGTATCAGTGTAATGTATCTATTGTGGGACTGATGCTTCATTTGAACGGCAAACAATCATGTCAAAATCTGCTGCAGGTTCAAGAGAAAGCTACTTCAGAGAGTACCAGTCAGTCCTTTCAGAAGCCCTTTAAATCTAAAGCAACTGAACTGAATTAAGCCCTTAAACATATTTAACATTCACATCAATAACTGGAAGAAGCTGCACTCAACTCAAAAGAGTTCAACATGTCATTAAAATCAATATAATATTGTTCATAAAACAAAACGACTGGCCGTTGGTTTCTGCACAGCAAACACATGTAAGAGCACTTTGGACGGAATCAGTGGTTGCACTTTTCACAAATCAACATGCTACACAATCGAGCCGCAGTCTCACATTACATTTCAAAAGTTATCCTGAGCTTCAGAAAACAAAAAAACTGTTTAACATTGCAAATCACAAAAAAAAATGTAATGTCTCAAGCTATGAAAACTATTGGGGGGAAAAGTCCACGTCAAACGTTTAAATAATCAAACAAGCAAAACAATATGCAGCTCTGCTATATTCAGTCAGATATGCAGCATTTCAGCACAAGAGGATTCAAATGAAAAAGCTATCGTTTCAAGCATGAAAGCAATACTCTCGCACACGTATCTTCCAGCACGCTTATACTCCTGTGTGGGAATGCACGTTCTTCAGTCTTCAGATGGAGACGGTTTATCTGGAGTTGTAGTCTGGTGAATACAAGCGCAATCTTGGGCTTGCCTTCGTGTCTGAAGACATGCTGTTGTTGAAGGGGCTTCCAGTCAGCTTCGCTACACCTGCAGAAACAGCAGCATTTACAAATGACTGCAGAAGTATTTCTAAACAGCAGAAGAAATCATAATAATGCCAGCATGTTGTCAGTTCTATCTGTGTGTAGCACCTGCAACTCTGCACAAACTTCAGAGGAAGTGCATCTGAAATGAGCTTTTTTCCCCCCAAAGGTAACAGTTTGAGCAGCACATTTCTCAATTCAGTGACAGAAAACCCGCAGACGGGTGTAAGTACAGTACAGTGCTGTGAAGAGCACATCTGCACACAAATAAACAGGCTGTTTCTGGTGATCAACCTTTAAGACTTCTAAGGATCATAGAGGGTGGAAAAAAGGTAACTAATTTACTCATTTAGTTTTTGCAGCAATTAATAATATATGATACGACAGCTTTAACGCAATAAACATCCATTAGCTTCCTTTGATGCACAAAGAACTGTATTATCCATCCAAAAATAAAAGATCAGTTGTTAATTGCGTTGCATTTATTCCGGTTATATCTGATTTCGTTCTTGCAGGAGTATGCACCTGCAGGAGGAGGGGTCTT